AGAGAGAGAGAGAGAGAAAGAGAGAGAAAGAAAGAAAGAAAGAGAAAGAGTGAGTGAGAGAGAGAGAGAGAGAGATGAACGCAAGACAAAAAACATAACCTGGCGAAGATAAATATTATTGAATGAACAGAGTATAATTAGACAAGTACCTGCAGTATTTTCACACGTTTAATAGCAATAAAAGCAAATCCTAGACCAACTTTTGAAAACATATACATGTACCTAATCCTACAACAATGTCGGTGTCAATGTTGCCTTGGCGATATACTTCTCCCGTGATGCAGTGCGCGGCGGTAACGACCCATCGTGCCTTCAGTAGGGAGGCGCCACAGAAATACTTGTTGTTTCCCTGTGAATAGAAGGGAGGAACGGATGTAGTAAGATGTACACAACCGCTTTAACCCTCAAACACCCGGACGGGGTCCATTTAGACCCCAGGTGTATATTTTTATGTGCTAATTGAAAATTTTTGATTCGAAAAAAATTCCTCCCGTGACTTTGTCAAAAAAACCTCTTCTTCGAGTTTTCCTAATTTTCTTTTGAAGATCGGCACAAATTTGTAAAAATTACAACGGAAAGTCTGATGTAAGACCGTCCAAACGGACCCCAGCCATATTTTTACTTTCCTTCACACGAAATTGTTCGGATGTCCTCAATATGTCTTCAAGGAAGCATCGATCATTGCTTTAATATTATGCAGTTTGCCAAGTAACCTCAACCTCAGGAATCAGGTCATCAGGTTTTCAGAGGTTTGACAATTTGACAATCATATGAGGTCAAAGGTCAACCCCATGTTCATGCCTGCAGGCCTCATCCTATTTTTGCATAAATTATGATAATGAGTTGGAATTTTTTTAACGCTTAATCATGTCAAAATATACCTCTTACTATGTTTAACCAATATATGTGCAAAGATCACTGAAAGAATGCAAAAAGGAATGTAAATTTAAAAGAAACCAAATGGGGTCCATTTGGACCCCGTTCGGTCATTTTTGTCACAAAAAAGTTCGGGTGCTTGAGTGTTAAATGATCAGTATATGTTTTATGAATCGTTACGTCCCTGTCAGTGTGAGTTTTGAATAGCTGAGCACTCAAGTAGGTGGGTTTTAGCAGCTTTTTTTCTGATAGCTCATCATACATTTTCAATGGAAGCTTCCAAAAATAGGCTGTGCCCTACTGGGTCCATACCTGTTCTGTCTTCAGAAACAGAGCTGTTTGCCACGGCCAGGCTCCTTTTTTCGAGTCCGTGCCGCCGTAGATGCGTGGGCGGGGTCTGTCCCTCCCTCCCACCGGCACAAGCCCCGCTGGGAACCGCAGACCACGCGTACGGCCGCCCAGCCTCTTCGGTACGACCCCGCAGTCCGTGATGTCAGCTCGCCTGTCCCCGGGGCTCCGCTGTGGTTGGGGGGGTTAGTGGGGCGGAGGTTTGTTGTTGCTGTTGTCGTTGTTGTTGTCGTTGTTGTTGTTGTTACATCTTTCTGGGGTGTGGACGACTTGACTGGTTCGTAGGAAGCTGTTGTTAAGTCTAAAGAACGAATGAGAAAAACACACTATGAAACAACCTTCTTCCGAATTCGATCCCAACTCGGTTAACGTTCGGGAGCAGTATGATCGGATTCGAGTTATATATTTGAGTCAAATTTGACACCTGCACACGTTCCCGAACGTTGCTGACTTAATCCCGAATGTATGACTGGTGTTCTTGAGTCTTGAGTCTAGGACTCATAACTCGCACAAACTGGACACCCCGTACTGTCGCACCACTCGGTATAGAAACTCACCGATCCCCTACATGTGCCATCTGCTGAACAATTGACGGACACTAATTACTGCTACCTTAGCGTCCTTACTTATCACCATGAAATTTAGAAACAATTGTTAACAGACCATCCAGTTATTAGGAATATTTGAAATATTTGTATCACATGGGCCTACCTTTTAATCGTTCTTCTGCTCGTAATTTTTAACTGTTGTGGTGTGGTTTTATTATGTGTAATCATTGTGGTCTATGTAGTCTTTCTAATGATACTATATTTTAACTTCCTAATGACTTTGTATTTTAACCTCCTAATGATTAATATGCAATGCTATAAACTCTCGATTTTAAAATAATGAAATGTACATTGATTTGCAATTCAGTGACTTGTATCAAGTTTACTGCTATTGATCAATACATAATTCTTGAGTCTTGAGTCTTGAGTTCTGCTGACCACAGCTGAACAATGATCTCAACAATATACAACCACTGATGGAACCTCCCGACCGACCCCCCCAAATGTTGTAAACATTTTGAAACATTTATTTGATACAGCCGAATACCAGTAGTGGCCGAATTTACCGAACACCAGCCGACACAGACGACTTTGCGCTGACCTACTCCTAACCATGGTTGTGGGCGTTCAATTACAGGGCTCGAAATTAACAGTGTCCCTATGGCCACTGACCACTAGAATTTAGGCCGGGACAGGTAAAAAGGCACTTTGGGACATATTTGGGACAACATAACAATAATCAACATCAGAATGTCAGCCCTTCTTTTGTTTAGTAGGCACACGTCCCGGCTTTTGGCTACGGAAATACAACCCCCCCCCCCTAAATTTCCTGTCTACTCTGCAATTATAGTGCGGCCTGGGAGTCAGAATGTAAGAAAAATAAAGTTGACTTCAAGTTGAAGCCATACAATACTTCTCGAAAAGCATATTGAGACAGTTCATCCTCACTTAGGGACAATTGAAATATATTTTTGGGACAGTGCTGGGACAATAGGAAGAAAAGTTGATTTCGAGGCCTGAATTAGTGTTCTGGAAATTCGTGAATTTACAAATTCGTGAATGTTTGACAGGGCCTAGAGGCTGAAGTCTCATTTGCGTGATCGGGCGGGGGAGTTCTGAGGCAGCGCTCCGAGTTCCGCTAACTCTCCTAGCCTGGTTACCAGACTTTCAGAAGACGATAAAGAGGGGCTAAAATAGGTCTGGTAACCATAACTCTTAGGCCACACCAAGTAAATTTCATGGATGACGTCCGCGCGCGCATTGATTTTGGCCTGTTCCTAGAAAAAAAAACAAGAAATTCCGCTTCCTGTAACTATGACCAAAGAGTCACGACAGTGCCGCAAATCGTCAGATTGATGTGAAACCCGTAACGCCGAAAGCCTGTGCCTGGTTAAAAAATTGAAACAAAAATTTAAAAAAAAATGGCACTGAAAAAAATCCTGTCAATAGCTCCAAAACAGTGCCGTTTTTGGAACTATTAACAGACAGGACAGTCCTGTCAGCAGTGCAATATTTCTTATCTAGGCATCTTGTTTTTTAGGCCCCTTCTTGTTTTTTGCCCTCTCGCATTAGATTTAGGGTCTCCAAAGGACGTCATCCATAAAATTTACTTGGTGTGGCCTTATAGGGGGTGCTTTGTGTGAGTGTGACAGAGGCTTCACTCGTGCACCTGTTATAATGCCAATCTATAGACCAATGGAAAGTTACCTCACCTGTTGGAACTGTAGGGAATGTTGACGAATCGGCTGATACGGGTGCAGCTGTCGTTGATTCTGTACAACAAATAGTAGTTGCGGTAAGGTTAGCATTTTTTTTATATCTAAAAAAGCGCATGGGAAGAAATACACAGGCAGCGATGGCGAAGCACACAAGTTAATAAAAACTACATAATCGGCATCGACATTAAAATAAAAAAAAAATAAATGAAAAATATAACACTACCTACAATTACACATGAATATACACAATTGAAATGTGATTTTATGCATTGAGGAGGGATCACAGAAAGAATAGAAAACAGTGAAAACTGACTACTGGAGCAGTGGAAACTTATATCTCACCTGTTGGAAGAACACCCCTGACCCACGCCATGAGGCTGGTGACGTTAGTGTAGAACCCGTACCCTCTGCCGTCACAGACCGGAGACACGCCCCAACTCACGAGCCCGGCCAGAACCCATCTCTCAGACCTTACAGAGGGAACAAACAACCAACATTTAGTAGGACAAAGGTCACTAGTGCAGGCCCAGAAGGCCTATTTTGGGAGATGCATTAAAAATAACATGTTAGAACATTTTCGGCATCATTTCATGGCAGTACTTGAAGCGTTTAAAAAAAGCAAATAAACAAGCTTCGTGAGGCGTCTCCTTATTTTTTTTTTTGGGGGGGGGGCGTCCGAGACATAGCTTCTGTATCAGTGTAATATGGGATAAGATAGATTCAACTTAGTACATTAAAAGAATTGCTGAACAAATAATTTGAAAATCCATTTATTTTGCATCCTTGGGTGGCTTTAACTTGAATTGGTTCCATCTCTATGCCTTTTGTTTGTGTGAAGAATTACTCGACGAAAATCAAGCACAATCTCAAAGACGCCATGAAAATAAAAATATTTAAAAAAATAAATTGATAGAAAAGAATAAATGGACATTACCTGTCCTCCTTCTTAACGTGCTTGACGACGAAGGGTCCCCCGGAGTCCCCTCGGCAGGCGTCCCGGGGTCCTCCCCGGTCCCGGCTCCGGTGTCCCGCACAGAACATCCTGTCCGTGTACGACAGCGCCTGTCCGGATTTACTGTTGTCCCTGATTTCGCGCAGGCACTCGCCATCGCTGCGCACGGGCATGCGCAGCCTGACCTGCTGGAGGACCTTGGCGTGCCTCCATGACATTGACGAGGTCACGCCCCAACCGGTGACGTAACCAGCACTCTCCCGTCTAAATTCTTCATCTTAAAAAAAAAACAATAAAGGCCTTGCATTGAATTAAGAAACAACGTGAATTTAATTGTCTCGAGAGTCATGGAGAGCACTGTTACCAGCTAATTCTCATGTCTTTGCCATCATTACGACTAGATTTCAAACTGTTCATTACTCTTAAATGTTATACTTTTGATGGTAGATTTTTCCACGTGCTTCTTTATCTGAAGCTTTTTAGTCTTTGCAAGATTTTCCCCATAGTGAGTGTTAACCTAATTTCCGGCTCGTCGCGATCGCCTTTCAGAACGGTCGGCGCCTTTAGATGTCATATCGCTGACTGGTGGATGACCTATTCAAGCGTATCATAACTTTTTTGTGGTCCAAAAATGGATGAAACATAATATATACCATAAAACAATTGGAATTGCAAATGTAAGCGAGGATCATGAAAAATATCAAAGGTATTAGTAGTGAAAAAAAGAAAAGCACAAGCTCAGATTCGAACCCAGGTCAAAAAGCGTAACTCTAAACCCCTAAACTATACTCTATAGCTAACACTCTACACTACAAAACATCAATTCGAAGGATCGTGCCGATACTCTTTAAGTTAGCCGTTCTTCTTTCTTTCTCTTTCTTTATTCTTTATTTCAGGTAAAAAAAAGCACCCATAAAACAATTTATCTTAACAAAATACAGAACTACGATATGGCATCGACCCTTTCAAAAGGCGACGACCGTTTAATTACGAGACGGAAATTAGTAACGGCGGTACCTTTGATGTCTCCAGGCAGGCACGCCGTCCTGACGTAAGGTCCCAGCGTCACGTGACGGGACAGTCGGATCATGGCGATGTCGTAGTCAAAGTCCAGCCGCTCGTGGTCGTACCCGGGGTGGACGTGAAGCTCGCGGAGTCCGAAGTCCTGTACTTCGTTGCCAAGGTCTTTCTCACTACGTGCTAACAACCCTGAGGAGAAAAAAAAATTCCATTTTAGTTCCTTCCTGTTAAAAGTATTCCAACACTGTAATACAGAACAAAGTATTCTGTGGCGTTTTATCATTGCGAGAATGCAAAACGGATTTGGGCAGAATATTTTTAATTGTCTGAAAAATGTTACAGGAATTAAGATAGACCCACATGAAATAATGTGTGGCACTAGTGATATGTCAGATAAACTGTACTTTTACGTCCCCGATATTAAGTTCTATTTGTAGAAAATGAGCATTGAGGATTCACTGCACTTCTGTAAGGCTAGATTCAAGACAAAAAAATCTTAATTTCATTGTACAGAGTACATTGTGTAGAGTAGTTTATATTAAGTTTATCTATCTCTATATTTGTACAATATTTCTTTATGTACTATGCTGTATGTATATTTGTATTTCTGTCAACAGAGTTTTAAAAAATTAAAAAGTGTTAAGAATATAAACATCATTGAAACCCTATTATTTTGATATTATCAATTCACGCTTCATAACATAAATAACAAGAGTTCCGCGATCTCATACCTTCGCCAAATGATGTTAACCCTTGCGGGTGACGAATTATACAATTTTAATCATTGATTTTGTAAATAAGAGCCTCATTTGCATGGATTATATCAGTTGATCATATTCTCCATCCAATGACTGCCTTATCATAACAAAAAAGGCTATTATAGCACTTCCTCATAAATTATGCAAATGAGGTCATGATTTGAATAAATTATGTTTATTGATGTTCACCTTCACTTAACTTCCAAATGTGGCAAGTATGAAATTTGGGGTGCAGCAGTTACAACTATGGAATTATAAGAATTTGCCATTAATTATGCAAATTAGGCCCCCATTTACATAATCTATATCCTCAGATGTTTTTCTCGTTCTCAAGTAGATGTCACAAGTGTTTCATAGTTCTATTATTGAACAAAGCAGATTTATAGAATTTCCTCATTAATTATGCAAATTAAGTCCTGATTTGCATAATTGCCATCTGATTATGTCAAGCATCACTTCAACTACCTACATACCAAAAATCACGACAATACGTCAACCGGTTCTTGAGTTATCGTCCTTCGATTTTTTTTCAACAAATGCTCCTGCAGTTCCAGAACAAGGCGCTAGGGGACCCAAACTCATGTCACTTCTTCTCTATCCCAAGAGCTATCTGCCATCCAAAATTCGTGACCCTAGCATGTCCAGATCATGAGATATCAAAACCGGAAGTTCTGCTGCAGTACCTAGGAAAGCCGCCAGGGGGCCCAAAATCTAATCATATCTAGGTCTCATGAAGACCTACCCACCTACCAAGTTTCATTCCAATCCATCCACTGCTTCTTGAGTTATCTTGCTAAACCACACACACACACACACACACACACACACACAAACACTACTGAAAACATAACCTTCTTGGCGAAGGTAACAATCATGATATGTGACAAACTGACCCAGATATATCCTGAACTCCGTGATGTTTCTGTCAGGTGGGAAACAGTGCGCCGCTGACATCACCCACTCCCTGTCCACCAACACTCCTCCACAGTGGAACTTACTCTGAAACATAGACGACATACTCATGGCTAAGAAATGATGACAGCAAAATCTTAACTTGATTGTACCGAATATAAACATTAACGCCAAGCGCTACTTAGGCCACACCAATTTAATTTCTTGGTGAACGAATTCACCCGCTTCACTTTTTTTCTGATTTGCAAAAAAAAAAAGAATCAACTGCAAAATGCTCATACATGCATTTTGCCCCGAACAGTTGAAAACAGTCCTTTTCTTCCTAGTCGTTACAGTTATTCCATCTTTCAATGCAGTGGTATAAGTAAAAGTTCAACATTCATTTTTTAAACTAGCCTGGTGTGTTGACTTCATGGCTCCTATCGTACCTTTTTGGGCCATAATAGGATGCCTAGGCCTGTTTTTTTTTTATTTTTTTGCCCGCCCGTTCCATTATTTTCCTAGATAAATCCGTTAACCAAGAAATTAAATTGGTGTGGCCGTAAGGCTTAAAAATAGACCAGATATGTAAGAAAATGTCAAAGCAGGAAACTTTCAAGTACTTGACGTCAAGTAGGAATAAAATTATAGTGTACAAAATATGCTGTTATGTTTTCAGTCATTTTGTAGTCATTAATTAAATGTAGATCTAGGAAGATATATATAAGAGGTTTTGTCCATTCTGTCCTAATGAGATTAAAGACGAACATTTTAACAGGATTGTACGATGATAAACGCACAAAGCTGTTTAACCTTCTTTCTGCTTGGTCAAAGGAATTTGTTACAATTCATGCTATAGATAAATTTAGTTTAATTTTAGAAGGTAATAACCCTTACTGTAATGAAATAGGTAAAGATATCAAAGAATGTTTTTACCTTAAAACAGCTAGTTTAACTTGACATATCTATTGTTTTGTACGTAGGTTGCTGTACCAAGGAATCTGTCTGTATGTCTAGGTATAGTTTAAGACCTCACGAAAGTCGCTGTACTTTTTTGTGTCAATAAGGCCACACCGACTTCATTTTATGGATGACATCCGTGCGCGCATTAATTTTCGCCTGTCCACACACACACACACACACACACACACACACACACACAAAGAGATCACGTCCTCCGAGGCTCTGGCCTGGCTCTGGGCCTGGGTAGTCCATGGTAGTTAGCGACAATACGGAACCGGCATTAACTCTGGAAAACGGCACCCAGGATACCAAAGCTAAACAACTGTATCTCAGCACATACAGTGCATCGGCATACAGTGCCGATTCAAAGTCCATAGAAATCCAGCATGTGCCGGCTTGTCGTATATGTCGCTATGTACTGACGCAATTTCACAATATCAGCTTTGGACATTTAAATGAAGTAGAAAAATTCAGATTTCTTATGAAACTTGACAAATCATGTATTATTAGTTCTATATGCTCGTACATATTTAACTGCGTCAAGAAGCGAGAAGAAGTTGAACATAGTAAATAGTAGATCGCATTAGTATGTATAGTTTAAGTGCAATTGCTGTATCTTTCTCCTTGTCTATTCATGACCTGTAGTTAGCTTGTTAAGAGCACAAATGTACAAAATGTGCAAAATGTACAAAGCTTTGTAATGCGTATTCCTGTGGTTCAGTAACATTTTTATTTTTGGCCGGAATTTTTTTTTTTATTCGCCCGCGCGCACTAGTTTTTGGGGTCTTCAGAGGATGTCATCCATAAAATTAAGACGCTATGGCCTTAATTTCATGATGTGATGATTATTTTGCTGACCTTCCGAACGCTTCTGCCAACAAAGATGGCGGCTTGCCATGGCCAGGCTCCAGGCTGGGCGGTCACCCCGCCGATGATTTTACCTTGGATCGGGGGAGTTGTTCGTCCTGATACACCGCACAGTGAATAATCTGCACAAGTAAACAAACGTCAAATATTTCAGTGAAGGTTAGACATCCAGGTAATAAGATACGCCAGAAAGCAGTTACTCAAGCAACCAAAATCATACCCAGTTGCTTGAGTAACTGCTTTTTGAAACATCAAAATATTTCTTAAAGTTAAAACTTTTGATCCCACACAGCGAGGTCGTGTGGCGTAGTGTTAGAGTGATCGCCTCGGAGGCGAGAGGTTCCGGGTTCGAACCCTGCTATGGCATCTTGAGCCATTGGCAAAGGCTCTTTACATGAATTTCCTCACTTACTTAAAATGAGTATTTGATTATCCTCTTTGTTGATAGCGTTGAAAATTTTGAGACATGGGCCGTCACTGCGCGTTGTTATTTCATGTTGGAACTAAAAAGGCCAATATTTGCTTTGGAGCAAATACAGCGATGGGTTCACCACATTTTACGACATGACAGGGAAAGAATGAGAAACACAAGGGAAACCAATGATTTACATTGATATAACTATAATATGAAGTAACATACAACTAAAACAACAGTTGGATAGCTATTCCCTACTTTATTGGTTAGGATTTTTAATTGCATAATGCAAACTGTTGATTTTCAAAATAAAAAAAAAACGTTCATGCCCCGCATTCCAATGCTGGAGCAGAAAAGCTTGAAATACCTACCAAAACACTTGAATAAAGACATACTGTCAGTATGGAAATGCTCTGTGCAGGTGTTAATCAAGTTAAATCCCAACAGCCAATCATCAAGAAATGCTCTGTGCAGGTGGAAATGCTCTGTGCAGGTGTTAATCAAGTTAAATCCCAACAGCCAATCAGCAAGAAGTATAGAGGAAAGCTGCATGCCTATTGGTTAATGCCCTGCATTCCATTGTGATGACTCATGCCCAGACGTGGTAAACACGGCACACTAACACAGTAATACATTTGCTATAACACAGCCAAAAAACTCAAATAAAACCTTTCTAAAAGCCTGTATCACAAAAATTTAAAAAACACCTAGGGGTATTTGCCCACTGTACCTCCATACCAAATTTCAGGACCTTAGGCCCTAAAATGAAGAAGCTGAATCCATTTAAAAATTGGCAGGAGGAGGAGAAGGAGAAACATCAGAAAAAGCAATATGGGTTCACCACCACTTCGTGGTGTGGTGAACCCATAATAAAAACAACAAAGGGCATTGTTCTCACATAGATCCTTTAACCAGTCACACATTGGTCTTTTTCAATACACTGACTCAATGAGACTGCTCACGTTGCTTCTCTTAAGTGTGACGTCAACACTTGGTCAAAGGTATCTGGTAAGTCAAGTCTGTGACAAGTCTCACTGGGTCAGTCTACTGAAGAAGACCAGAGTGACTTGTTGAAAGCTCTAGGTGAGAACTATCCCTTGTGTCGGATCAAAAGTTTTACTCCTAACTATCAACACACATGAACTTTCATGACAACATCAAATATCAAACTGGAATGATATTGTATTGAATACATACTATGGCCTATAGTAAAGGGTAGCTTTTCAGCATTTAAACGCCAATGCAGAATACTTGGACAAGATATATAACTGTTCTTTACAATAATCTACTAACAGTAGATGAGATACTGTGTGCATAGTTACCGATTTTGTTGTTAGTCATGTTTGATATGAGCCACTCCAACGTTAAGTAGTCCTTTAAGACGAAGAAATGCTCTCTTGGAGGATCAGAGGCGATATTCTGGAGCTGGGATTTGACGATGTCCTTCCCGACACCGATGCAGAACATTTCGACGTCCTCTTCTTCCCTTAACTTCTCCGCCTCTACCGAAGGGTCGCCGCCCATGTTGTGAACCCCTGAAACATCGTAGACATATAATTTCCGTTTCACACAATTTCCAACATTCATAAAGTTATGACTTTTTAGACACTGGTATTAACAAGTTATCGGGCTGTTAAAATATATGTATAGCTTTCGTGAAGCCCCACTTTGTCCTTGTCCTTGTATTGTTTCTTAAATAATATTATAGTTATATATAAAAAAACAATTTATTTGATTTTGCTACTGTATATCTATTACTCAAAGGGTCACCTCTACTGTACATCTCATATATCAACACTCAGATTCCCGCAATCACATAGTTCTACTCATCCGCCAGAAAAATAACAATATTGATCAACATACTATATTGAGAAAATGACTAAATGTCTATAGTTGGCATGGTTTACGGTGCTAATTCAAAATGAGGCCTTTGGGTCAGTACATATAAGTGACCTTTGCCGAACCCAACACGTATAATCAGTGATCTCACGAGAATCTGCGAGACGAGCTCTAATCTCGCGAGACTCAGCGAGATGCCCTAAAATCTGAGAAACCTCTCTTTGTGGCAGACAGTACAATTACCTTTGCACATATAGAAGCCCATGGTAAAATACACTAAAGCAAGTCACAATGAAAGTACTTTTCAATCTCAAAACTTCTTCTGGACCAGGGAGTCACAATGGTTTGTTCCCAAATATAGAAAGAAAACAGGGGGTTGACCAGCTCAAACTCTGACAACAGCTGACAACAGTGAACAACCCTACTTTTGGCCGCCCTGGGCAGGCCAGACTCGATATATGGGTCCTTGGAATCGGGGAAAGATGCACAGGAACAGTGGCCAGCAGACGGGAAGATAGTGGAGTGACTGTAACGGTTTGTTATATAGTTTAAGTTTGTATGTGAAATACAGGAATGTGTCACTCTTTACTGTGTAAGTTTTGATAGGCTACATGATAATAGCGTTAATGGCCCGCCCTTTCTCGGTGAATATAGTGTGATAAAGCCTTGTTATTAACCTTAAAGTATATATCACTCACCGTCGGTGATGAGTATAACCGCCTGTTTGGCCTTCCGTTCAGGAGAAGCTTGTTTGTTGGCGATGATCATGTTCCTCAGAAACGTCAGACCCTGCCTTGTGTTCGAGCCAGTGTCTGTCGGAAATGATAACCAATCAATCAATCAATCAATCAATCAATAAATAAATAAATAAATAAATAAATAAATAAATAAATAAATAAATAAATAAATAAATAAATAAATAAATAAATAAATAAATTAACCGATCAATCAATCAATCAATTCGAGCCAGTGTCTGTCGGAAAGGGTACATTAATCAATCAATCAATCGACCGACCGATCAATAAAATCAATCAATCAATCAATCAATCAATCAATCAATCAATTCGAGCCAGTTTCTGTCGGAAAGGATACATCAATCAATCAATCAATCAGTTAATCAACCAATCAATCAATCAATTCGAGTCAGTGTCTGTCGGAAAGGGTACATCGATCAATCAATCAATCAGTCAATCAATCAATCAAACAATAATTCAATCAATCAATTCGAACCAGTGTCTGTTGGAAAGGATACATCAATCAAACAATCAATCAATAATTCAATTAATTAATTAATAATCCAATCAATCAATCGATAATGAAGTGTTTTGAACCCTAATAACATACTTATCTCCTCGGATAGGTCAGACCATTTGGTGTTGTCTAGGTGTCCCAGTGCATCCCGGACGGACAGGGCCTCCTGTGTGCGGAATAACACCTTTGTCTGGGAGGCGAACGCGATGGCTCCAACCCGGGTTCCGCCAGGAAGAGCAGATACTCCAACCTACAGTGTTTAAAAGGAAATAGATGCTGTTTTTATTCATTTCTTTTTTTTATGTTACCAGTAGATCACACTCAGGACAATGGCCGGTTATAGAAGTCCCTGGGTACACAAACTCCACATAGAAAAAGGCAGACACAACCGCATTCCTCTAGAGCAAAGGATTTGCCAATTTTGCGATTTAGATAAGATTGAGAATGAGTTTCATTTCGTAGTTGATTGTACGTTATATAGTAATGAGAGAGATTTCCTATATGCTTATATAATAGATAAGTTCCCCAACTTTGGACATTTAAATGAATCAAAAAAATTCATAGTTCTTATGAAACTTGACAAACCATGTATCACTAGTTCTATATGCTCCTACATCTATAACTGTGTCAAGAAGCGAGAAGAAGTCGAACAATGTAAATAGTAGATCACATTAGTATGTATAGTTTAAGTATCATTGCTGTATCCTTTTCCTTGTCTATCCATGACCTGTACTTAGCTTGTTAGAGCACAAACGTACAATAACGGTCTTTCATAAAAGAAAAGTTACTTACATACATACATACAAATTCAGCACGAAAACAAATTAATTGCAAATAACATGGAACATCTGTTAAGAATAAATTTGAATACAGTCATATTTCAGTCTGTTTTGTGGTGGTGAGTTCCTTTGTTTGATATAGAAAGCCCCTGAAGCTAGTAGACTGTCTCTGAAAGACTTCGGTTGCTATATATATAAATATATATAGGTTCTCGGCATAGACTAAAACATGCAAGAATCGTGGATAGAGTTTAAATATATCATACACAAACGTACAAAAATAAGCACTACATAGACATATCACGCAACTTTGACCTAAACTCAACGGGGGGGGGGGGGTAAAGGCTTCTAGTCACCTTTGACCCATTGCCAGAGTCACGTGTCCATGAAGTCACGTGCTTTATATAATGGGTCAGTTATTCTGACGAGGATGCATCAGTCGTGAAGTTTTCGCACTGTTTTCTTTGGTTGCACCAAAAGCTTATTCAATTTCTGAACGGTTTTATTTTACCAACACCCACTTTTGGCCAGGACACGTTTTGTACGAAAGCAAATCACCCTTTCTTACTCCATATACTCCATCTTTTAGGAGGAAGTTCCACGCTTAGAGCTTCTTTCCTAGAACTACATCACTATGGAACAAGCATACCTTTGAATGCTTCCCAAGTGGATACAACCTTTAAAAAGTCCAATCAAAGGTAAACAAATATCTATCTTTACAGTCCCTTGATGTAACCCAAAACATGTGAGTGGTTCGTATGACCCTAATTTTGAGATAAAAGTTGAAGTAAATTTAAAACTAGAGAAGTAACATTTGCAAAGCAAATGCATAATGTTTACCTTCGAACCTTCGGACATTGTCTTCCCTGCTAATTTTTACTCAAGCACATAACATTACATGTACTAGGAGTAAATGGTGACATGAGCAGAGCAGACCATGAAATTGCAACATTATATAACCCAACACCAGTCACCATGGTGACAGACGTCAACAAATCATGTCATTGGCCAGGTCAGAGGTTAGTGTTTGGAACAGAAAAGGAGGAAGAAACTGAGTAAAAACAATATGTTTTCCTTCGGTAAACATAAAAAAAAATGTTTGGGCATTATCCTCACCTTCTGAATAAGAGCTTTTGCGAAATTAACGGAGGCGTTGTAATGGTGATAGCCGACACTTCCTGACGCGTCGAAGACAAAGTAGAGATCCAGTCCGTGCGGGTTGTTGGTGTTGAGGAACCTCGCTCTGGATCCCCTGCACTGGTCCCGGTTGTTTGTATCCACCTGGCTGGAGCAGGACGCATGCGCGAGGGCGTCCAATCCCATGCCGAAGTTTGCAGCAACATCCGGGACACTGTCGAAATCGTTTCGCCCTGTATGTAGAAAGTTCAAGTTCATCTTGTGTGTAACTTATTAACTATGATAATTGATTTAAAGCGATATAAAACATTTTGAACCAAAAATTTTAACGATTCAATTAAAAAATATCTTCGTGTGATTGTAATCACACCAAAAAATATAGTCGTGTGATTGTAATCTACTTCCACTTTTCAATATATTTTTGCGATTATCTCACATTTCTGACATTTATGATTGGCGCATAAACAGCCCGCGCAAGGTTCACACAGTTTTTGGTGCCACCACAAATAACCAGAATGTAAACAAACATGGCTGTTTTCAAACACTTGTAAGGCGTCATATTTTGGCACCTACACTACCGTAAATGACACAATAGAATATGGTTGATTCAATTTACTTTGTAAAGAATTCAGAAAAATTAATCTCTCTATCGTCTTAATATAACAAAATGTCATATAAACTACGATAAACTATTATCGTCATTAGAGTAAATATCTAAGGCTTCCCAATCAACAATAGTCTTTACTCAGAAGTTTAAAAATTCCAACCCTAAGAATCATTCCTATTCCTATTAGGAAATTAATGAAATTAATTAAATTTTTACCCAAACATCTCGTGTTTTCCCCCGACCATTCTCCGGACTTCAGGCACTTCCGTTTCCGGGACCCTAGCATCTCGTACCCAGGGTTGCAGTGGAAGGTGATGACGTCATAACGATTGTAACCGTTCCCAGTCTTTCTGCCGTTGACGGGTGTCGGTAGAACTGGGCAATCGGATCCTAGAGGTACCACAGGAGAAACGGGAAAGATAAAAAAAAAACGTTACCTGGCACTGTATGTTTTTATGATGTCAGTACTAAGGACACACCAATTTAATTTGTTGTTTCTCGGATTCGCCCTATTTTTTATGATTTGCAAAAAAAAAAAAGATTTTAGGTTCTGAATCAACTGCAAATTTTAAAATGCTCAATAAAAGACATATTTTGGCCGCAACGGTTGAAGAAAGTCTTTTTTTACCTAGTTGCTAAATTTTTTAATGCAACAATGCAACTTTGTTTCATTAAAAGTTCAAAATCTATTGTTTTAAATATTATAAACCAGCCTGGTATGTTGACTTCATGGCTCATATCGTAACATTTCCGACCTGTTTTTTTCGCCCTGTCTCTTCATATTTTTCTTGAAAAAATCCGAGAAACAACAAGTTAATTGGTGTGGCCTTACCTTTTTTTGCGCAGTTAAGGTCATAGTCTTTTGAGACTGACTGGCAGTTGTACTACAGTAACCTAAACTAGAGTTCCACGATCTCATACCTTCGCCAAATGATGTTAGCTTTTATGAATAAGAACTTATATACAATGTATTAATCCCCCTGATTATGCAAATAGGATCCGCAATTGCATGAATTATATCTGTTGATCATAATCTCCACCAACAGTCTTATTTTAACAAAGAATGTCATTATAGCATTTCCTCATATATTATGCAAATGAGGTCCTTATTTGAATAAGTTATGTTAAATTATGTTCACCTTCACTAAACTTCAAACACCCCAAGTATAAAATTCCAGGCAGTTACCACTATGCAATTATAACATTTTCTCATTAATTATGCAAATTAATTCTTCATTTGCATAATCGATATCTGCCTGTGTTTCTCTCGTTGTTAATAACATATGTCGCAAGCTTGAACTTCCTATCATGGAATGCAGCTGATTAATAGAATTTCCTCATTAATTATGCAAATTACATTCATATTTGCATAATTGTAATATCATTATGTCAAGCATTACTCAAGCTACCTACATACCAAAAATCATGATGATCCATCAATCGGTTCTTGAGTTATCCTCCTTTAAACATTTGTCCTTTAAACCCCCTTGCAGTTCCAGAGCAAGCTGCTAGGGGGCCCAAACTCACGTCACTTCTTTCCCAGCACAAGAGCTACCTGTCATCTAAATTTCGTCACCCTAGCTTGTCTAGATCATGAGATATCAAAACCGGAAGTTCAGCTGCAGTACCATGACAAGCCGCCAGGGGGCCCAAAATCTAATCAGTTCGAGCTCTCATCAAGACCTACCCACCTACCAAATATCAAGATAATCCATCTAAGCTTTCTCGAGTTATGCTGTTGACACACAGACACACAGACACACACACAGACAGACACACGGACACGAAAACATAACCTTCTCCAATTCTTGGCGAAGGTAATAAAAGCGTCGTGTAGTGTACGTAATGGTAGGGCATTCAGCCCAGAACCCATGGGTCCTGGGTTCGATTCCACCTACATTCCCCGACGTGGTGCCCTTGGGAAAGGCAACTTTCCTCACTTCACTCAAGTAAAAATGAGTACCATAATAGTGTATATTGTGTATATCGAGAAAAGTGTATAATAAAGTTTATAGGCCATAGATTCTTTACTGACGGTATGTAGTTCTGAGGACTAACAGTGTTATTTTCGAGTGGAGATAAATTTACAAGAAACAAGCATACCACAAATTAGGATATTACATGTATATCATCGTCGCATTATTAACATCATCATTGCCACAATAATATTTTGACTCCATTCTGAACATATTGCTTCCTTAAGCCCTCTAACCGTGAACCAGTGCCATAACCTTACATACTTTCATCGTCACAGGTTGTGTCCGTGCCGTTCCAGGTACCGTCCTCTCTACAGGTTCTCTGCGGGGACCCGTACAGGGTGTACCCGCTGAAGCACGAGAAGTGTACGGTGGATCCGACGGTGGTCCTCGTGCCCACTCGCCTTCCGTTCTCAGGTGATCTTAGACTTGGACACTGAAGGTCTGCAATAGATCACAGTTGTCAATTGCATGTATACCTTTACATTGTATATCTTCAACAGGCACATGTAAATGTTACCTGTTATCCTTCCACAAATAAGATAAATCTTAATGATCATTAATCATAAACATGCAAAAAAACAAGGTGTATAAAATCAACAGTATGTCGTATATCGTCCCCCCTGGCGCTATGCAACATGGGATGTTTAAACCCCTGACGCCATATGCACCCTGGGAATGGGAAATGTGTTTATCTGTATAGTATCAGCTAGTTCCGCCGTGTTTCTCGGTTGGAACGTCGCCACCATTTCCGGTTGTCCGGGTCACACTTCCGCACATATTCCCAGGCTAGCAGCATAAGCTATATGGTCCTGCTAAAAACAAACTGAGGACCTATGGATTGGTTAAGTTGGCCTACATTGAAGAACAAAAATACCTAAATATTGACAACAGACGGCATAGGACTGTTGTCAACATCCGGGACACTGTCGAAGTTGTTTGGCCCTGTATGTGGCAAGTTCAAGTTCATCTGTTGACGTCATGAAATGCCCATTGTTACCGTTATGTAACTTATAAAATACGATGATTGATTTAAAGCGGCATTGCATAACACATTTTGCACCAAAAATTGAAATGTTTTAATTGAAAAAATACCTTCGTGTGATGGTAATTTACTAATCCACTTTTTAACATATTTTTGCAATTATCTCACATTTCTGACATTATGTCACTCAGTTTGTGGTGCCATCAGAATGTAAATTAACATCTTAAACAGTTTCAAGCTTTTAAACACTTGTAATATGTCATATTTTAAGCAGGTACACTTTCTGAATGGCATTTTTACAATGCAGTTCTTACATTGTTAAGAAATTTCCACCTCTACAGAAGGAAATTCGTCGACGTAGATGGTCCCTCTTCGGACACGTACTCCGTATGCCGCTGGACTCACCCCCACAAAAGGTCCTCAGTGTCGCGTTCAGCAAAAAACTAAACTCAAACCCAGCAAGGAAGACCACGTGACGGTCTCCTTAGTAGCCTTGTCGACGATTGTTAACTTTATCTCAAACAATCATAACATCTTACCTACTGAAACATCTTAGAAACTTAGCAAGAGACAAACGCAGATGGATTGAACTGTACAGGGACATACACTGATTTAGCCTGTCAATTGTAGTTTGCTAATTGTAGTCTGCTAATTTACAGCCAAAAACAGTTATTTATTATCATTATGTAAAGAAATGACCAGAAAATTTCCCTTTCGTATCGTCCTAATGTTATATAACGGAGGTTTAAAGTAAGGCTTACCTTGTTCAGCCTGTCCGGCTCCAGGCCCGCCATACGAAGCCACCAGTACGGAGAGGAGCAGAAGCGTGGTCAGCATCTCGTCAGAACGCGCCGGCACTGCAGCAGTACTGTCCGCGAAACAACCTCGGTGTAAACTGAGGACAACTGGCGACAAGGAAGTAGAAGTATTGTATATCGGATATATCTTGTACAGTAGGCTTGAAAATTTGGCCGTGTGCCATATTGCTCTGTTACGACTCTTCAGCATGAAATCAAACTCGAACTAAGACCACACCGATTTAACTTTATGGATGACATCCGTGCGCGCATTGATTTTCGCCTGTTCTCAAAAAAAAAAAAAAGATCACGTTCACCGAGGCCCTGGCCTGGCTCTAGGCCTAGGTAGTTCATGGTGGTTTGCAAGAATACGGAGCGGGGCACCCAGGCTATCGAAGCTCCACGACTCAAGAACTCAGTACATACGCCGGCTTTTCGGATACGTCGCTATGTACTGCCGAAATTCACAATACCAGCAATTCCTGTAGCATTTAGTAGCATTTCTTTTTGACCGGATTTTTTTTATTCGTCCGCGCGCACTAGTTTGGGGGTCCTCAGAGGATGTCATCCATAAAATTAAGTCGGTGTGGCCTAACTAGTACGTCCGTGGCTTAGACCATGTTGATATGATAATATGGATGACGTCAGCAAGCACAAAAGTTTTCGTCCATTTCTATAGAAGCACTGTAAGTCGTGCGAAGCAGCTGAAAAATGAACAAATATATCCCGTATTGGAAACTATACTAACTTTCGTAGAATGCCAAAATCAATTCCAAAGGAAAGGAAGAAAATGTGAAGAAATGAAAATGAAGAGTCTATTTTTTTAATTATCATATGCACTGTGTTCATTCATTTGCTCAGCATTCATGACCCCATATCTATATAGATTTTATAATAAAGGCGACTTTTTTAAAAACCTTTTCTTTACGCTCGCATTAGTTTTGGGGTTCCCAGAGGATGTCATGCATATAATCAAATCAACATGGCCTAACCGACAAGGAAGTAAGCCTAGCACTGATTCAGCACATGGAGATGTGCCAAAGCCACGAGCCGTGACGCTAGTTTGTCTGAAGTAGGTTTTATCAGTGGATGACAGGCGACCAGGAAGTACAACCGACGCCTGTACACCACATGGAGATGTGCCAAGGACATTCACCTTTTCCCATTCCCAGGATGCATTGCACCAGCGGGGTACAACGTCGACGTCCCTTGTAGCGCCTAATAGTCGGAAACCTGTTAATCCCCCTAAATTAAGAACTTCCGGTTTTGATATCTCATGATCTGGTCACGAGTTTTGGATGGTAGATAGCTCTTGCGCTCAGGAAGAAGTCACGTGAGGTTGGGCCCCCACATCTGACAGATTGTTCTGGAACGGCAGGGGCCAGGGGCGCCAAAGAATGAATACGAATTTTAAGGAATTTATACGAATTTTACGCAATACATACGATCCATTACTAGGAAACACACGATCCTTTAAGTTACTAATTTTACCATCGAAGCGGATTTCGAATTTCTTGTTGTTGTTTTTCTAAAAAATTAAAGGTCAAAATCAATGCGCGCGTGGATGATATACATAAAATTACTTGGTGTGGCCTAATCACCATACAAGGGATTCTGTGTATTGAAGACATTGGCATTTTTATGTGATGTAGCGTAACCATCATCAATTAAATCATTTTAGAATCATTAGGAACGTGGTAATGTAATACGAAAATCATTAATTCATGATCCCCATTGTATTGCAAAAAAAAAACAACAACAATGAGACCATTATTAGCAACGTTAAATAATATTGTTATACGTTAACACAAGACGTGTAATAGTGTTGTACTTCGAAAACAAATCGGCAGGTGGCACTTCTGCTGCAGCTGCTGACGAAACTCGAACAACAAGACTTTCAAGCTCAATGACCTTGAAAAGAGCTAATATCTGGCAGCGATCAATTGAAAGCTTCATGGTGAATCAGTCGGAGAGGGTTCAGCTCGTCAGTATAATGTTTAAAGTTCGAATCCGCAGCCCTTTCGTGATCATACGTTGACCTTCATTCACCCCATACCTGTGACATAGCAACCTTTTAATAGTCCAGTCGTGTAAAAATAGTCGCCCGTAACGTAGACTCTCGCTGGCGGCATCATTCAGTGGACAACCTTCGCGAGACGCCTATTTGTGACTGAAAGAAGCCTTCGTTTTACGTTAAATTCAAAACAACCAATGGCGAGACAGATTCCACTGTGCGCTAGACCGTGCAGAGTGTCGGGTGCCTTAGGCATGAGGTGAACTGCTGTTCTGATTCTGACACAG